TTGATATTTGATATTAACAATCTCTTTAGGCATTTCCTAAATATACTTGCTAAAATAATCAAGGCATGTTTTCCAAACACCTTCTTTTTTTAAACTAAATTAATGCAAGGAAGAAATCATTTGTAATTAATTGACAATTAATATGTAATTAATATTTGTGGCCTTTATGTTTTTTATGACTCTTATGCTTATGAACGTTGCATTTATTTAATAAAAAATAAAGTAAAAATATGAATATTGTAAATATTGTTACAATTTAACATAGCTGTTTTCTATTTGAATAGATTTTATTTTATCCCTGTGATGCAAAGTTGAATTTTCAGCATCATTACGCCAGTCTTCAGTGTCACATGATCCTTCAGAAATTATTCTAATATGCCTCTTCGATGAATAGAAAGTCCAAAGGAATGGCATTTAGTTGAAACATAAATCTGTACTGTCACTTTTAATGCATCCTTGTCAAATGAAAGTATTGATTTGTTTTAAAAATAAATAAAATACTCATCCTAAACATTTGAACGATAGTGTATTTTTTGTAAAATATTGTAATACATGAAAATATCGAATATTCGAAATTCTAAAAAAATTTTGACAGCCCTAAAATATACACAAGCTTAATGAAAAAATAGTAACTACTGTAGATAAAAATTGCCTTATTAAAGTATTCTTAACACATTTATCTGTGAATTTACCTTGTGGATTAATATTAAAGACTGAGTTTATACTTTATCTTCATCGTCGTGTGCTTTCCTGCAACTCTATGTGACACATATAATATGGAAAATTGTTTATTCTAATGTTAACGTCCCTTGTGAAAATTAGTACACTTTAACTTACTGTAAAATGTACTTATTATGGAAATGATATACTTTAAAAGAATGTACCTATGTGTGAACTGCATGAAATTCTTTCGGACACTTAATTCGATGTTAATTGCAATTAAATGAAAATGTAATATAGTTTAAATTCATATTAAATGCAATAGACTGAAATTTTGAGTGCTTTTAAAAATGCAATTTCATAAGTACTTCTCTTGTCTATTGAAATATGGTTAAAGTGAAGTGCTGAATGTACTGACAAGCATTTATGGTAAACTAAAATATACTTTAATGTCATTCTATTGAAATCTGTATGTCGTGTGTTTAAATATATTTGTAATTATTAGTATCTGTAATAATAAATATGTTGCAATTTAGTACATACTAAAATAATAAAAATATCAACTTTTAATGTAATTTTGAATAACACTATATGTGATTATTGTTTTAGTCAACACATCAAAATAGGTTTACTTCTTAAAAGTGCAATTAAAGATTATTGAAATGAATATTGAATGATTTAAAATTTAAATTTGACATTGTTACAAAATACAAAAGTGTGTTGAGTAACGTAGTCATGAAAGTGTACTCTCTTTAAGAACACTTAAGCAGCCTCTTATTTCATTAATAAATAATTTTAAAAAAAAGTCATTTTGTTTCAAACCTGTATGACTTTCTTTCTTCTGTAGAGCACAAAAAAATATATTTTGAGAAAAGTCTCAGTGTTTTTTTGTCCGTACAATTAAACTTTTTCATTGTTGTTTTGGACCCCATTGTCTTTCACTGTATGGAGAAAAAAAAAAGATTGATACATTTTTCAAAATATCGTGTGTTCCATAGATAAAGAAAGTCATACAGGTTTGGAATGACATGATGGAGAGCAAATTCTAACAGAACTATCCCTTTAATACATGCTTTTTTTTTTACATTGGCATCTTTTTCAAGCCACTTGAGGCTATTCCGCTTTGTGTGCTCACCACTAATATAAACACGAATATGTAAGTATTATAATATATCATAACTGTGGTTAGAGTTATTAATAAATAACAGATATTAATGCATATAAAGCATGTTGCCGGTTGTGACCCTGCTGTCTGTGTCGTACCCATGGCAGTGAAAAGATCACGCAGATGTTGAAACTGGGTCTGATCAGCCTTGTTTGCATCCAGCTGCCCCACACGGGCCTCCAGACTCTCGTGCCTGTCCCTCAGCCTGCCCACCTCCACCAGAGCCTCTACGGTCTCCGGGTAGCGTTCGGCCCCAATGCTGACCCGGGACAGTCGGCGGCCCGTCACAGTGCACAGAGCCCCGTCAGACAGCGACTGCTGGGGAGGAGAAACCCGACGAGAGAGATCTACACCAGCTGTGCCACCTGTACCCGCTCTGTCATCTTTGAATGGGGTACCCAGGTTCAAAGGGTGAACGGGTGCAATGTTTTCAGCGGCGGAGAGGGTGTCCTGCAACCCCTGGGTATTTAAGAGGGAATGTCATTTACACAGAACATTTCATGTATGTGAATCAGAATGTCCTTTAGCGTATATTGTGCTTTGCATTAAACACCGAGACGAATGTCTTGGTTTTTGGCCTCGGTTTGTGTTTGTAGATGTTGGTTATGCATTTACATTTAGCAAATCATTCATTCTGGTCAATGTTTGCCTCAACTGCAGCTGCCGCCTGCTCTAACCAAACAACGACTGTGACAAGAACCTGTGAGATTTAGGATGACTGTGAAAGGTTATTGGCTTCGGACACACTAAATTGACTTCCTGCTGTGTATGGAGTGATTACAGCTGGACGTGCCTCCTGAATCTTCTGCCTCTCGCTGATGAGCGCAGCTTGCATCACTTCCCATGTGACACACTGCGTGAGCTCCTCTGGAACAGGGTACTGGGCCATCTTGTCCTTCAGCTCTTTCTGAGAGAGAAAAATACATGAAAAATCTGGTGCATTCTAAATAAACATGATATGGTCATTATCAGATGACACAGGAAATACCTTCTTATTGTCATTCATGTCATTCAGACCCAAAAACTATAATGAAAACTATGTTTGTGCTCCTGAAATAATTGAATGAATGTGCAGCATATTAGTATGACTTCTGAAGGATCATGTGACTCTGAAGACTGGAGTAATCATGCTGAAAATGGTTTAATTAAATTTTTAATTAAATAAATGCAGCCGTGGTGAACATAAGAGGCTTCTTTCAAAAACATTACAAAATCTTACCCCAAACTTTTGAACAGTAGTGTAATTTAGTTCAAGTCAACTTGTACCTTTGTGTCATTTTGTGCAGAAGTTATATTTTATAATATAATATGTTATGTTGTGTATGTATCTGAGTGATTTCATATGTATAGGATGTGTTTGGGTGAGTTAACCTAATTAACCCGCTAGCAAAGCGCCTCAGTTTACCAGTGTTTGTTCATTGTTTAGCTTCAGCTCAGTACATATTTGGTGCACTGCAATTGTTTACAACATGCACAGGAACTGATTGCATTTGGTGTTACTGGCCTAAAAAAACTATAAAGGTGTCTGCTTGAAAAAAACAGCATATGCTGGTTAGGTATGTTTTGACACTGGGATGCTGGTTTAAGTTGGTCCTTTGCCAGCACATGACCAGCATAAACAATCAAAGGACCACCATAAACCAGCAAAGGACCAGTTTAAACCAGCAAAAGGACCAGCATGAGATGCAGTGGGATTGGTAAAAAAAACTCCCATAAAGTCTCAAGATGTTTTTTTCAAAGTTGCATACATTTTACATGGCTTTCTAAACGGCTCTTTAGTGCGAGACGTGAGTGCAACGGTGATAGATGTCCCTCTAGAAAATGCGCGAAATATGTGTTCTGTGTGAACGGCTTGGTTTCAGTTTTGACGTAAACATGATCTTCTCCGCATTGATGTTCTCTTTTTCCACTATATTTTTAACGAACAATGCAGCAGCTCCGCATCTAGTGGCTTCAACTGGACAGGCTAACAAAAACATTAAAATGCAACGACACTTACATCGTCATCGCATCTCACGCGCCACTGATAAGGCTGCCTCCTTAACGCACACCTAAAATTCGAATGCAACGTTTTTGCATTTGACGAATATTCGAAATTCTAAAAAAATTTTGACAGCCCTAAAATATACACAAGCTTAATGAAAAAATAGTAACTACTGTAGATAAAAATTGCCTTATTAAAGTATTCTTAACACATTTATCTGTGAATTTACCTTGTGGATTAATATTAAAGACTGAGTTTATACTTTATCTTCATCGTCGTGTGCTTTCCTGCAACTCTATGTGACACATATAATATGGAAAATTGTTTATTCTAATGTTAACGTCCCTTGTGAAAATTAGTACACTTTAACTTACTGTAAAATGTACTTATTATGGAAATGATATACTTTAAAAGAATGTACCTATGTGTGAACTGCATGAAATTCTTTCGGACACTTAATTCGATGTTAATTGCAATTAAATGAAAATGTAATATAGTTTAAATTCATATTAAATGCAATAGACTGAAATTTTGAGTGCTTTTAAAAATGCAATTTCATAAGTACTTCTCTTGTCTATTGAAATATGGTTAAAGTGAAGTGCTGAATGTACTGACAAGCATTTATGGTAAACTAAAATATACTTTAATGTCATTCTATTGAAATCTGTATGTCGTGTGTTTAAATATATTTGTAATTATTAGTATCTGTAATAATAAATATGTTGCAATTTAGTACATACTAAAATAATAAAAATATCAACTTTTAATGTAATTTTGAATAACACTATATGTGATTATTGTTTAATCAACACATCAAAATAGGTGTACTTCTTAAAAGTGCAATTAAAGATTATTGAAATGAATATTGAATGATTTAAAATTTAAATTTGACATTGTTACAAAATACAAAAGTGTGTTGAGTAACGTAGTCATGAAAGTGTACTCTCTTTAAGAACACTTAAGCAGCCTCTTATTTCATTAATAAATAATTTTAAAAAAAAGTCATTTTGTTTCAAACCTGTATGACTTTCTTTCTTCTGTAGAGCACAAAAAAATATATTTTGAGAAAAGTCTCAGTGTTTTTTTGTCCGTACAATTAAACTTTTTCATTGTTGTTTTGGACCCCATTGTCTTTCACTGTATGGAGAAAAAAAAAAGATTGATACATTTTTCAAAATATCGTGTGTTCCATAGATAAAGAAAGTCATACAGGTTTGGAATGACATGATGGAGAGCAAATTCTAACAGAACTATCCCTTTAATACATGCTTTTTTTTATTTTTGGTTGAACTAGTCCTTTAACAGCAATATTTACTGTAGTGTTGTCCAGATCTTCCACTTGGTGGCAATACTGCTCCATAGCAATGATACGGTCCACCAACTCTTTCATGTTCAGCTGAAGATGACAACGTTATCAAGTCACACAACTGCTGGATATATATTAGGAAAAATGTTTGGTAGGTGATATTGCCGTGTGTATGCAGTCACCTGGCTGAGCTGACCGTTCAGAGCATTAACTTCCTGTCTCAGATCGTCTCTGGACTCTTTGAGCTCCTGGATTTCCTTCAGCAGATCTTGGATTAAGGCCATACACTGAGGAAGAAAACAGGATTTGAAATAACTTCAGTGTTTGAAGATTTAGTGGGTTTCATTTCATACCCCTCCTACTGGGCAACAGTAACTGGGAAATCAACATGCTCTTTAGAGGAAAAGCCCATAATCCCTTTTGCCTGGACTTTGAGGAGGGCTAAAACTCTGGAAGAGCACTGCTGAATCAGTCTTTTTCTTTGAAAGGTACGTAATATACTCTTTGTGAGAGCATAGAGAACTTCTGACCTTTAACCCCAACAGAGGTTACCATGACAGCCCAAAGGTCTTGGGAATCACTCTTGAATCAAACAGGATGTGGCATCGCTGTCCACCCACTTTCTGATATGTTTGCGTAACCCCTGATGTCTACCCTCTGTTACTCTTAGTGCTGTTTGTCTCTCTGTGAGGCTCTGTTAGATGAACACATTTATCTTGGGTTTCTCTTATTAGACTGAAGGGGCAGCTAGTAAGAGGGAAATAGAGGTGAAGATGACAAACATATGAAATAGCTGATGACACTGACTTGCCAGCCTTGCTGTTACTGAATGTCCAAACACACACACACACACACACACGCACACACACATGCACACACACACACACACACACTCAAACACACACACACACACAC